AAAAAAGTAGAAGGTGCTGGTTTCAAAACAGATAATGGACTCAGGTCATATGAGCATGTTATGTAGAGTCCTTCCAACATGCTAAGTAAATCATAAAAAATAATTTTCTCTTGGTCACGTTAGTTTTTTTTTTTCTTTTTGAGGCACATCTGTCAGTTCTGTGAAAAATTCAAAGTTAGAACGTGGTAAATAGGTTAAGCTGAAAACAAAGGGAAAATCTCCTCCTGCGCTCACACAGTATAGCATGTGAATGTTAATGCGGGACCTTTGAGCCATCTGAGCTTGAGCTATGCAAAGCTAACTGCTCGGGAAATGTTAGGTTAGATGAGATTCATCTGCCAGACTAATCCATCCCAGAGCCTGAGAGCAGCAGCAGGAGCAGCAGCAGCAGTGAGACGTAGCGGGATCTGCTGCAGAACGGCGTAGCAGTGACATGGGGCAATTCTCCAGGGCCTTGCATTAGTGCGCTAAATTAAAGGGGGTATTAGATTAAATTGGCTCTCCGATTTCAGGGGTGTGAGTAAAATTCTGATTTGCATTTTCCACCGCTGCTTAAGATATAATTAGTTCAGGGTGATTCCCATGTGGAAAACATTGACAGGCAAATCTAACTGGTTGCCGGTAGCTTATCGTCTCTTGCAAGGCAAAAAGGTACGCTCAGCTCATGTTTAGAGTGTTACTGCGTGTTTGTGTACCTCTGTACCTGTGTGAGAGGGAAAAGGGTGCAAGACAGTATACATACAGTACCTGAACGCTGTAAATTCTGCATCTGAGGTTACAACAGCACTTGGTTCCTCAACATTTTCCAACCAGATTGCAATGAAATTTGAACACCTATTACAGCAACACACTATTGTCATTGACGGGAACATACAGGATGATGTACCTTGGAAATACATTAGCAAAACCTGGATCTTTTTACATTTCATCATGATGCAATGAAAAAATGTGTTTTATTTAGATTTTGTGTGACAGACCAACACAACTCAGTTTAAAAATCTTGAAGCGGAAGAAAATTGCAGATCTTGTTTTCAATATCTTTTTTTTTTTTTTTTTTTTTTTTTTTTTTTTACAAATAAAACAACAGAAAATTGTGACAGAATATGTTATTTGATGCTAACTATGACACTGTAGCTAGGATCCTTTTAAAGAAAGGCATCCACTCAACATGCTGCCGCCATGATAGGAATGGTGTGTTCAGGGAGATTTTCAGTGTGATCTTTCCAGGTAAATAGCCATGTCCTGGTAGGTTTGCACTTTTTGTTATGCTCTTTTTATTTTCAGAACACTGACTGAACATAGCTGTATGAGATTTTCATAGCTTAGGACATTGTGTATGACCTAACTCTCCTTAAAACTTCTCCAAAACCTTCTTGTTGAACTTTATCTGTGTTCCTTGGTCTTTATTATGTTATGTTATTATGTATGTCCTCAAACCTCCACTGCTTTTATAGTAAAAGTGGATTGATACCAAGACTAAGCATGCATTTTTACCATTTAGCTAAAGGCATTTTTTTAGTCTCACATTAAATTTTATTTAGTAGTATAAAAAAATAAATACTTTAAGAGCCACACTCTTTAGATTTATTTAACAATCTACCAAAACAGTGCATTTTGTAGATTAGAGTTATGTGCTGCTCTTTGTTAGTATGTCACGTACAATCTAGTGAAATACATTAAAGTTTCTGATCGTAAAGCAAAACAAGGTTTAAGGGGTATTAATACTTTTGCGCAACGCTGTATATGAATAGATTTAAGATAGATTAGAAATATCCCTGAAACTAAAGCTTGAGCTGACACACCTATTGACTAAAAAGCATTTCCGGCAGCTGCCCCTGTAATTACAAATGAAGAGCCAAAAATAACAATTACTGCCGGAAAAGTCCATCCTATGAATTACTGAAGAAGGTACAGGAGATTTTAAAAGCAAGTTTGGGTTTATTCAGACGCTTCACACCCTCACTAATTCCACCCTTCATTGCAAATGGATGTTTTCCAAAAGCGAGCCTCCCAACGGATAATAAACGTGAATCCATCTTCCTGCACACCTGTTTGGATGCACCTGTTTGAACATGAAACTGACACATCTGGAGCATCCACAATAAACCACAAGCAGTATTTTTCCACACTGTCCAGAAGTCATATATCTGTTTAACTCTATTTACCTCACAACGAAGGAGAGGCATTTGAAACCTGGACACTGTTTTCAGAATTTGTGCAAAAGGTGATGATTTTAGGATCTTTTCAGTTTGTAATTTACCTTCTAACCTTCATATGACGTAAAAAAGTAATTTCTTAAGCATATTCAAAACTGCTACACTAGCCACACTAGTAGCCATTAATATTTTACTAAAAAGGTAAACCACAAGACACGTTTAGCCATTATATATATATATATATATATATATATATATATATATATATATATATATATATATATATATATATATATATATATATATATATACATATATATATACACATGTACGCTATCTCCTCTTTGCTCTGGAGCAGAAGGACGCTGCATGTCTATATGAGAAATCCCCGGTGAGTTTTGAGCCTCATTGAGGTAAGCAGAGAGAAAATAGAGCAGAACCCTGATTGGATCTGATGTATCTTATGCAATTTCTTGACTCTTTTTTTCAGGGGGACACTATGTACGAAATGTTGTCAAACAGTTAAAACAGTTTAACAAGAAAAAATGTGAATGACCTTCATGCTAAGATAGATAGTTGAGAACAAGCGTGTAAAGATTCCTCTGTGGTGGATGAAGAGAGTAACCTACAATATTTAGCAAGTCTAGGTGTACAAAAAAAATCTAATTTCAAGTTTTTTTGGCACCTGAGCTCAGGTCACAAAAACTAGTTCTTAAAGCAGCATGAATTCTGTGTTTTGTCATCATTAGTATTAGTATATTGATGTCATTGATCACAATATTTTTTTTTACCAGCTAATGATTAATATACTAACAACAAGTTTGACCAATAGATTTTCAGTGGTTGCAAAGGCTTAAAAAAAAAAAAACACTGAAATCAAATTTTTTAAATAAATATGTTTCCGATTCAAGTGTCACCAGCTACATCTTCTTACAGAACAGACGCTGAATGCCACAGTGGACACAATAAAATCACAATAAGTCCTAGATAATCCACTTTAAAAAATGCACAAATTCAATCACTCATAATTTGCTTTCTGCCACCCCCTGTGATGTGCAGCCCTGAGCAGAAAGCCATGCAGCCCAAATCAAAATCTGCCAAAAACTGAGGTGCTGACTTCAAAGTAGGTTTGTATATCAGCAGAAGACGGTGAGAAAGAACAACCTGTATCATATGGTTGGAAGAGTAAAAGTTGCCATGTTGTAGATTAAATGTATCACAATTAATAGTTAATGAACCCCAGTATTTTATAATGAGTCCCTCTCTGCTTTTTCTTTACCAACTTTTTTGTGTTAAAACTGGTGCTATGGTACAACCAGCACCAGTCTTTTCTTTTTTTCTCAGTTCTTTTCTGTCTCTGACACCAATAAAGTAGTGTTATCACAGTACAGACTCTAACTGGGCTCGATGAAAAGAAAAGTTTCTATTGGTTCCAGGGGACGGTCTTCTGGAGACCAACCACCATACTGTCTCACCATGTTTTACATTTCCCCAGTTTGGACATCAAGACACAGACTTGAGTTAAGTCAACATGCAACACTGACTAATTTTACACTACAGACTGGTAAACCAGGTGAACTGTGTTTGAACAGTTAAAAATTCCAAATATACAGTACAATATAGACATAATCAACTGTATAAAGTAAGAACACCAAGCTGGGCATTTGACTGCAGAACCATGTTTCTGTAAAACCACTTCAGCTTTGGCATTCGTGACTGTGATCAAATGAAAATTACAGGAAGAGGTCTCCTTTTCCCTACAATTGTTTTTGAAAAGTTTTTGATCATAGGAAAGCATTTTAAAAGTAATTTAACATCATATTAGAAAACAATATCTTTGAACACCACCTTGAAGATGTGTAGTATAAATTGAGCAAAGATTCTGACTGATGTCTTGTATTCCCTGTTAACAAATGAAAACATAAATACTGTTTTTCCAAAAGTAGATTAGGTAACACTTTCTGATTAACCCAGTTTTTCTCTCTGTGTAATCACTTAATTAATGAGCAAATTATCTAAGCCCCAGGTTGCATCTGCTGGAAATTCATCTATCAGGCTGCTGTAGGCCGTTGTTTGATTCTCAGGGCAAAGAGAAGCATATTTACAGCTCAAGATTCAAATTTGGCCTTTGCACTTGACGCCCAAATGTCAGCCAGGAAATAAATCAGCTTAAGTGAACCTGTATGCCTTCTCTGCCTTCTTGATATGCATCATTTCCAGAGTGATCCACATGCACTGCATACTGTGTACCCATACTTCAATCAGTTCATTCATAATGTGTGGAAGGGGGATCCGTTTATGGGATTAACTGCCCCCCCCTTCCCTCGCCACCATCACCTCCCGCACACACACTCACACTGTGGGCGGTGGAGGGGGTGTTTTGAACAACGCCATCAGCAGCTCCACCATCACTCTCACGATCTTTTGGTGGTCAGCGGCTGAGGCCTTGTGGGATATTGATTCTCCCCATCCAGAGACGGCTCCATAATTGGTTAAAATGACCGGGTGCGGAGAGAGATGGCTCTCTGCTGAAAACCATTTCCCAGCCCTGCTTGGAGCAGAGCCAAGCTCGGGGTTGTTCGGATGCGTTCCAGCCCCAGCCTGACTGGCAGCAATTAGGGGTGTCTGAGCCAAGCTCAGCTTGCGCTCCGCACAAACACCCCTAATTACTGCCAATTAGGCTAGGCGGGTAGGCAGATTTGAAAAAGCAGGGGGATGTTCAGGCATGGGTGGGCATGGAAACAATTTTCAAGGGCTTAGAACGTGACTGGATGAAAAGGTTAATGCTTTGGAGTGTGAGGGGGATAATGACAAAAGAAGGGGAAGCTGAGCCTCCGTTCTCACCTCCAGCGATGATCCCGGCTTCTTCTTCAACTCCTCACATTTCCTAAATTTGCAGATCTGGTGGCCTGTTTTGCGGTTCCGACAACTGCTGCAAACACCACAGTTGATTAGCCGCCTGCAGGGTGCACACACCCCACACCTTTTCCTTTTCTTCTTCGCTGGGTTTCCACTGGATGCTGAGGAATTATTCTGTGGGCAGTCTGCCAGATTGGCAATTTGAAACGCACTGTCTGTAACGGCTGCTGAGGCTGCGGGGGAGTGAAGGGCTGTCATGACGATGACCCCAGGAGGTAATGAGATGCCCCCTAAAGCCGGAATAGCGGAAAAAGTTCCAACGCGTTCCGGGAGATTCATTATCTCTGCTTCAGCAGCGCCGCATTTCAGCTTGTTCATGCATTCTCCTGCTAAAGGTCTGCAGTGTTCAGGGGATAAGGTAGAGAGGAAATTATTATTTGCCATTTGCAGCGTCTCTGGCGGCACGCCAGGCTTCCCCGGCCTCTGGGAGTCATTTCTATGCATGCTGGTCCTATTAGGGTTTATTGCCGCTGATTTCCTTCCCCAGAGCATGGCGTTATCACAGTTCCAAGGGGACATACCAATTCTGGCACTGGGAAAAATGGGCGTTGTGATACGGGCAATTTTTGCAGTCTGCGGAAATGCGCCATTTGTTTTGTAAAAGTTCGCAAACGACCTGTACCTTTCCATTTCTGCATTATAATCCAAGAGCTGACTTAATCCACCGTCCTGAAGATTATCCTTCTGCAGGAGCGAGACGTCTGCATTCTGTCCATTTTCAATACAAAGCGCATTGTTTATGTTAGACATGGCTGGAGAGTTCTCGTCAGTGTTCAGGAGGACAGTGTGAGGATGCAAGGGCCTTTGTGGAGCTGAAGCTGTTTAGGAACAGTGAGTTACCATCCTGGTTTGTCTTCTTCTGTGCAAAAAGCAGACAAAAGAGGAGAGATAACAGTTACATGTAAAGACAAAGAGGTAAAGATCTAATTTGTAATCAGAATTCAGTTCTAAACATCAACTTTCTCTAGTAGCTGCAAATGTGAGGAATGCTGACATGTTTTTATGCTCTCAGACTCTTAACAACAGTCCAAACACACTTGCATCTGGTGACAAATGAATAAAACATAAGGATGTTGTTAGAAATAAACAGATTGTTGTATCGGATGCAGAATCTCACCATTTTGTGACATGTTGGTTTAAAAATATGAAAAGTTACCTGAATTTATTTAATATGTAAAATTATCTTCTACAGGACGCAGAGAGGACATTTATATGGCACAGTGAATATATATCAATTGCATCTGCAGTGACTGCAACATCAGAGGCGGCCCCATCCGTCTAAACAAGACCCTTGTTGGTGTCTCCTAAGAGCACCTGGCATTCATTCATGGCCACTATTACAGTGACAACCCTCAGTGATGGCCAGCGCTGGATTTACAACCAGATCATGGACCAGACCAACCACAGAGTCTGCTGCCTGAGGATAGATCTGAATGTGTATGTGTGTATGGTTGTAGTGGTGTTGTGGGGGTCCATTTCCTTCCATTGCCTGTCCAACCAGTCTCTCTCAATTTGGTTTCCACAGATAAAAGCCCATTAGACACATCTCTCCCTACTTCCATTAATGTTTTTTTTCTGGGCTTTCCATTTTAATTGCTGATCCTTCGCTGGAATGGTTAAGCATTTCAAATCATATCCATATCTTTTAAGAGAATATTATAAATGTAAACCCAGAAACCTGGGATCCACCCTTACAACAGATGCCCCAAGAAATCAGTCATAACTGTAATCTGGTGGTTATTATGCTTGAGCGGAGGTACTCATAAATGAGTTAACAATCACAGTCTAAGAGATCTTTCTCAGTTAGCTATTTACTGAATCGCTGCTGTGGTTAAAATTCAGTCAGAAGAAGATCAGGACATGCTGTCATTCAGTAAAACAAAGAGAGAGAAAGATAACAGGAAGGCCAAATATATGGAAAAAAAGGAAATTTATTAAATCCTTCAGACCAAAACAGTTCTTTCAGTTGTTGCACATTTTAGACAAGCAAAAGTCAGGATGCGTTTTTAGAAAACTCGCATTGAACAACTGTCTCTAAACATGGGATAAGGAATACACACAGTTAGCACTGCTAACCATAAAACTCAATAGGCAAGTTTAAAAAATGTATCTCTTTGATCGTTTTGTCATCATTTCAGAAGACACACACAGACACGCATCTCAATGTGACCTCTGAGTCAGGCTTTATAGTATCAGGTTCTGGCTAAATTTTTAAATGTGATTGGATTTCACAACATGTGTTGAATGGGTTTCCATCACATCTATAATGCTGGTGTTCCTCAGGGCTCTTTTCCTGCGGCCCCTTGTGTTTCCTGTGTACATGCCTCATTCTTTGGCACATTTTGAGGACTTTAACAATATTCCTTATCACTCTATTGTATGAACATTCTAAGCCATGTGATCTCTTTAAAGCCACATGTAAGATATAAGTGCTACATATATTTAAAGAGTTTGATACTTTTAATAATATTAACCCTCCGGTAATGGAAACTGTTGGTCTTTTTACGTGTTTAGTCTATAGCGTTTACTTTGACTAAAGTTTTTTGCTGGACGTTCATGTCGAATATTTCAGTCTCTCGTGTTTTTACCATTTATTAGAGAAAGGTTTTATTGGTCATGGTCTGTATTGAGAATTAATTTCATTAAATAAAAACAATTATTCACCTGGCAGAAAAAAAACCTAAGAGTATCTACACATTTTTATTGTGTATCTCTAATTCTTGTGGATGACATTATTTGAGTGCATCCTTCCTAAAACAATTCATAGAGGGCAAATATATTTCTTATTAACCCACAACTCCCATATAACCACACAGTCCTTGCAATGCCACAAGAGCAAATCCTTTGGTTTTGTTTTTTCTGTCTCTCTGAGAAATTTAAAAGTTATTGCACACAAAATGTGACACCAGAGTGCTGTGATCAATCCCCTACACATTTTCAGGTTCAGTGTCGACCAGCAGCCACCCGTAAACAAAACCTCTCCGGCTTAATGATCAGCACCTCCTCAGGGTCATTATTACTTAATCAATTCACCCCTGGAGCGAAATACGCAGCCCAAAGGCAATCAAGTCACGGACATTGATTTTTTCCGCCTGTAAACAAAGTTTCCAGAGACAGAAATGTTCAATACTTGGAGCTGGAAGGAGACAGACAAGAAAGAGAGAAAAGGGGCAGGATAAGGAAGGGAGAGACAGAGACACAGGAAATAGCAGATATAAAAATTTAGAAAGGATAAAGATAGGTAGATATTCAGATCAAATGTCAAAAAATAAAAAAATAATAAAATAAAATGAAGTAGAGTGGTGCAACAGTGTAATAGCTGAACATTTCCATAGAAATGAATGCAACAGGAGCAGAGACAAGGCATTCAAAATCGTCTAGGTGTCAGAAGCGACAGGAAACAGAGAAAAAAGACAAAAAAAGGAGAAGAAGCATCACTTACCGGGTTCCTGTTGAGACAAGGCTCCCAAGATGCTACCAGCCCGCCACTGTGTTACCGCACATTACTGCTGGGCGATATGTGGAGAGAGGCAGAGGGGGACTGAATGCAAAGATGCGAGAAAAGACGCACAGAGGAGCCGCCTGAGGGCAGCAGAGCCACCGCGTCTCTCTGTCAGTGTGTGCGCTCAGATGGCTCAAAACAAAAGGAGCATTTTTTTTCTCTGTGTCGTTTCAGCCAAACTAGTAAAAAAGGTGGAAAAGTGCAGAAGCAAGTCAAAAAGGAAGAGGAAAAATGTGTTGATCGCAGCGGTGGATGTATGTGCGCCCCTTTTCCTCCCGTGTTGCGCGTCTGCCTGCTCTCTGCTCGGTCCGCGTCTCCTGTCGCTGTGTGTGGCTGATTGGTGCTGAGGTGAGGAAGCAGGGATGTGGACACCTACTGATCATTGGCTGGAAATTACTATAGAAACACAGGGGAGGAGGGAGGAGGGATGGAGCTCAGAGGGGCGCATCTAGACGCGCTTTGACACAAACATTTTGTTTCATGGCGGGACCTTTAGCGACGAGGAGGAAGCGGGATGTCATTTTTAATAAGGCTTGGTGGTGGTGGTGGGGGGGCTTGTCCAATTAATTTAAATGGAGCTGAGTTGTGATTAAGATAAAATGCCTCCGCCGGGTTGCTGCCCCCCTCCCTCCTTCCTATCTCCAGCCATAATTATGGGCTCCTCCGGGACCCGGGGCGTTATAAATCTCGCCCATGCCTTCAGATCACCTCCAGATGACAACCGGGTGCTCCTCCTGGGATATTTATTCCTAGAATTCCCCCTCATTTGAAAGGTTTAACTTTCCTTCATGTTTATTCATTTTTTTGGCTTGGTCTTGAAACATAACTTTTAAGTTTTAGTGAGTTTTTTTAGGAATAAAAAGACACTAATCAACTGTGAGATTTCTTCCTTCAGCCATTCAAAATTTACACCCTGAATATAACCTATTAGTGACCTGTAGACGTTGATGTAATATTCCTGTGTTTGAAAACCAGTTGAATAGTTAGATTTGGTTAAACAGAGTATGACTGGAGGAAAAGCTTCTGTAAAAGTCGAGATGAAGGAAGGATAAGTGAAGGATGCCTTTCATACTCATCCAGTTCAAAAAAAGACAAAAATTCCCTGTTTGACTGTGGATTCCTCTCAACTTATCTGCAAATCATTGGGCTCTCATCATTAATATTAGGATTAATATAATACAGACATTTAAAATGTATTACTATGAGCGAAACAAATATTTGAACTTCTCCCCTGCACTAAGCTAAAATAAGAAAAAAAAAGAAAATATTTCTATTTTTCTAATCATTCATCTCATTTTGTTATGGCTCTTCTGGGACATTTTTCATAGCAGGACATTTAAAACCAAACAACGTTGCTGGATTTATATTTTTAAATTATGGAAGAGGATTAGGGCCACTGAAACTTTAAAAAGTTTACATGTTTTTGAAATAGGGACCTCTATTTCGTCATTTTGCTTAATTCTATCTCTATTCTTTCAATCTGCAGAATCTGTTAGTTCAATCTCTAACATTATGCTCTCTCTGCCTTTTCTCATAGTAGCTTTTCATCATCTGTTGCTGTTTGGCCGTGACACCATCCTGGAGAGAAATATCAGCTGTACTGCTGCCACCAACACTTGCCTGTTTTTCAGTGTAGTCCTGTTTCTCTGACTGTGACTGACTGGATGTGCTCTCTTCATCCTCTGACATGGGAGCTGGCTCAGAGCTCGTCTGCCTGGCTGTGTGTTTCCTGGACGAAGCCTCCTTTTACAGCTGCTTTTTGTATCTCTGCTTCTGTCTCGTTGAACCCCAGTCGGCCTCAGCAGATGGCCGCTCACACTGAGCCTGGTTCTGCTGGATGTTTCTTCCTGTTAAAAGGGAGTTTTTCCTCTCCACTGTCGCTACAAGCATGCTTAGAGTGAGGGATTGCATCAGAGTCAATAAGTCGATGCAATCAACTGGTTTTCCTTAGATAGAAAACTTTAAATTAATTTGACTGTATGATCTGGTTGAACTGTAAAGTGCCTTGAGATGACATGTGTTGTGAATTGGCGCTATATAAATAAACTGGATTGAATTGAAATATTATTTCTGTTAATATGGGAAAAAAGTCATAATTCTGACTTTAATCTCATAATTCTGACTTTAATCTCAGAATTCAGATTTTTTTTTCTCAAAATTCCGACATTAATCTCAGAATTTAGACTTTTTTCTCCGAATTTTGATTTTTTTTTCTCAGAATTCTGACTTAATTCTCAGAATTCTGACTGATTTCTGACAGGTAGCAGACCAACCTGTTAGGATACTTAGCATTTATCCCTATCCTGGTCAAGCTGAAGCCAGCCAGCTCAGTTTTGGCCTTAGCTGACCACAGCACTCTCTTTTAAGCCTTATCTAAATTATTAACTTGTTCACTTGACCAACAGTGTGCAGACTTGAGAAGTTTTCAATCTCTTACAAGATACGGTTTTATCAGTGAGGCACTTGTGAGTTGTGGTGCTAAAGCTGGTTTTTGTTTTTATTTAAAACAAAAATTATTAGCTTTTTCTTGTGCATTGTTAATGTTGGGCAATGCTGCATTAACTGATAGCTGTGACACATGGTGAGTAATGTGTTTTCATGTCCAAAGAGCCAGCAAAGTTGAGGTGGCTTGGGCATCTGTTTAGGATGCCTCCTGGATGCCTCCCTGGTGAGGTGTTCCGGGCACGCCCCACCGGGGGGAGGCCCCGGGGAAGACCCAGGACACGCTGGAGAGACTATGTTTCTCGGCTGGCCTGGGAACGCCTTGGGGTTCCTCCTGAAGAGCTGGAAGAAGTGGCTGGGGAGAGGGAAGTCTGGGCCTCCCTTCTTAAGCTGCTGCCCCCGCGACCCGACCCCGGATAAGCGGAGGAAGATGGATGGATGGATGGATGGTGTTTTCATGTATACACCTAGTCTGGTGGTGATGAGTGGTGATGAGTTAGAAATGTGATGCTACATTTTTCATAATTTATACATATTTAGAATGCATGTCAAAAAAGCAGCCTTAAAACTAACCTTAACCCAATGTTAAACTGATAAGTGTATGTTTTTTTTTCATTGTTAGCATTTCTGTTTGTCTGTTATTGGAGCAACTACTAATTTCTGCCTGAAAAATGCCATGAGAGATTTAAAACAGTTCCTTTTTTTTTTGCAACCAAAATATATTTGGCTATGTGATTATTAGTCGAGCTTAGATGTCAAGCTAAAGGTTATATATGTTACCCTCTTTTAAGTTCTTGGTAATAGCAGGGGAAGGGTAACTATTGTTAGTTTATTATGAGGGGATACCAGTTAAAACATCATAGGACAAAAAATAGGAGCTGCTCTAAAACTGTCATTTCCTTGCTCACACTAAGAATGATTGTTACATCTGGCGCCTTTAAAGTACTTCAGGTACACCTGCCTAAGAGTCACCAGAAAGCTCATGATCTACTATTATCTGATAAACCCTTTCATTTCCAGTCATGTGATTTTTTAAAAACTATATAGAGCCAGCTCTTAACCTGATCCAGAATGCTTGACATTTGTGAAGAAAAAACACCTGCTTGATCATACAGTCAAATTGGTTCAAAGTTTTCTATCTAAGGAAAACCAGCTGATAGCATCGACTCACTGACTCAAAAGCAATCCCTCACACCAAGCATGCTTGTAGCAACAGTGGAGAGGAAAAACTCCCTTTTAACAGGAAGAAACCTCCAGCAGAACCAGACTCAGTGTGAACGGCCATCTGCTGAGGCCAACTGGGGTTCAAGAAGACAGAAGCAAACATACAGAAAAAAGCAGAGATACAAAAGGTAACTGTCAACCAGCTCCACAGGCGGGCTTGTAGAGGAAACATACAGCCAGGCAGACGAGCTCTGAGGCAGCTCCAATGTCAGAGGATGAAAGAGAACGCATAGCAAGTTTTGCACTTTGCCTGTTATTCTCTGAAGCCTCTATAGAGTGTTGTATTTTAGTTCCTATGCATAGGCGGATCTACTGGGGTGTCATTTAGGGTGGCAACTGCCACCCTAAATGACACCCTTGCCACCCCAGCTGCCACCCCAGTTAGCTGTAGGGGTGGTTTATAAAGGCTTATAAATTATGGATCATTTGAGAATTACGGCCGCTAATTTCTAATGTCGGACTGCAGTGAATGCAGCACGAGATGACGCGAGAGCGACTGAGACTGATTGTTTTGAAAATCGAATGGGGCAAAGCGAGGGAGCCAGGGGTCATGGGGAGAGGAGAAACGGGATGAAACAGGTAAAAACTGATTAACTATCTATCGAGAAATGAAATCATAATGAAAGCACAATGTTGCTAGCATAGCTGCAATGCTGATTTTGAGACGATAAAAATCAGGTTGCAGAACGTTATTTTTCTATCTATGATGTTAGTTAGGCCTGACGTTTCAGGCTCAGAAAGACATATTTGCGGTCAACTATGACAAAAAAGAGACTATATAGTTTGGTTGTACTCAAATCAAAACGCACAAAGGCATTGGATCTAAATAAAGTTGTGAAGCGTTTTGCTGAGCAACATGGAAATCACCACATTCAGCTGTTATAGTCATGTTAACTTTATGCTATGCTCTCTGGTGAGCCTTTACAGAGCTGTTACATTTTGTTTTGGCACCTGAGAAAATCTGATATTTCCTTTAATAAAACCAAAAGTGTTAAAAGTTAAAAAATGTGCAAATCCTGCTAAATATGAAGCAGTGTTGTTGTTTCTTTTTTGTATATATAATATGAAACTATCCAGAAATGACCCGTATGAACCTACTCACAAGCAAAATGTATTTCTATGTTGCTTCTTTTCAGATTTGTGGAGATTTTGATGTAACATACAGAACCCGCCTTTTGTTGATTTGTTGATACAGCAGTATGGAGGACCAACTCTGCCATATTTAAAAATAAATACAGAAATAAATAAATGCTTAATAAGTAAATAAGCATACAATTGATTGCCACCAAAAATACAAACAACAAATAAATGTAAGTAGAAATTAAATTATACAGCTAGTCATAAAGGTATATAACTCTTTTAATTGGTTTCTTTATTTCTTTGCCTTTTTAATATTTACCCTATTTATTTTTTTTGTCATTTATTATCTTCAACTTCATTTTTTCATTACTTATATTTTTAAGTATTTATTTATGTGCATGTTATCATATTTTTGTCAGTTTTATTCTTCCTTTGTATTTTTTTACCCTAGTTATTTCTTCGCCGCTATTTCTTTCTGCCTGCCCTTTTAACATTTCTGCCTGCCATTATCATATAATTTCTAATTACATTTATTTGTTGGTTGTATTTTTGGTGGCAATTAATTGTATGCTTATTTATTTATTGAGCATTTATTTATTTCTGTATTTA